TATTTATAATGATGATAATTTCATCAAAGAATAATTTTTAAATAAAGGTCATAGATATTTAAACAACTGCCTTTTTAGTCATTTTATTGGAAAGCTATTATGCATACTGAAACAAGTGAACTTTTGCTATATACACATACGCTAATATGCGTGAATAAATGTACACACACGAACGCACACACACACACACACACACACACACAAACACGCACACACAAACAAATACACACACACACCACACACACACACACGGTATATATATAAATATCGTACGACCGTAAGATATATAAGTGATTTCACATTGGAATCTTTCTGCCTTCATTGAATGAATTGTAATGAAACTAAGAAATAATTTAATCAAATATATCTCTCCTCTTTTTACTTTTGAGTGAGATGTTACCTTTTTCGTGAGCTGCTTGAATTTAAAAAATTCAAACGTTACTACGACTGGATTAAAAATCTTTAAGATGTCAATTTTTAATTGAAAAATGACTTACCGACAGCTTTGCACGGCATGAATGGCAACAGAGAAACAAATAACCGTATACGACACGCATAACCACGCAAACACACATGCACATACACACAAGCACACACACAGACACATACACACACATACATTTACAACATTCACACACACATAAACCAGCACACTCACACAAAATTACCTCACACATACACTCACACATACATCCCTACACGAGAAGCAGAGTAAACCTCAATTGGCAATATTTTTGGCAAAATTTTAATTTGTCTTTCTCATGATGAAATTTTTGAAGCGATATAATGAATTTAATTGCTTATATACCAAAATTTAACATTGGTGAAAATAATTTGTCCCTTCCTTAGATGCAATGCTCTTTACAGCCTCATGCCACGATAAACTCTGAGATATTCAGTTTTGGCAACTATGTAACCATGCTGTTAACCTATCAGTGCAATTTGTAAAATCATATAACTTAATAACCATGATGTGCACGCATTTATAGATTACTTTCAATTTTAAAATATTATTTGAAGTAAACATAAAAAATCAGATGAAAGGTTTTCTGACAAAATTTTTTTAAACTTTCCAAAGTGTGATGTTAGCTAAGAAGTGCTGAGGTGCTAACAGCCAATTAGTCAATTACG